GGATCTTTTCTTTGCAGCTCAGACATCTAACAACAAAGATTTGCCTCCACTTGTGTGTACTAGAATGGCATTGAGGCCAGGTTTCATGATCCCTTTGATATTCATTAAGATTTCTTTTTTTTTTTTTTTTTGAGACAGAGTCTTGCTTTGTAACCCAGGCCGGAATGCAATGGCTCCATCTCAGCTCACTGCAACCTCCACCTCCTGGGTTCAAGTGATTCTCCTGCCTCAACATCCTGAGCAGGTGGGACTACAGGCACGTGCCACCACACCAAGCTAATTTTTGTATTTTTAGTAGAGACAGGGTTTCACTATGTTGGCCAGGCTGGTCTTGAACTCCTGATCTTGTGATCCACCCACCTCGGCCTCCAAAAGTGCTGGGATTACAGGCATGAGACACTGCTTCCTGCCAATATTTCTTTTTAAATTGTTTTTTGATCAAGTAGAAAGCCACTCTTCACTTTTACTTGATAGGAGATGCTATGAAAACAACACAGCTCCTGAGTAAATGTCTTCAGGTCATTGTAGGTTTTCCTGGGTCGGTCATGTTGTTTCCTCATTGATATTTCTTTGTGACACTGGGATAAAAACTTGAACATTACTAGGAGACATCTGGAGAATTTCTGCCTGTGTTGACTGGTTTATTATAATGGATAAACAGCCAGATGAAGAGGTACATAGGGCGAGGCCTGGAATGGTCCTGAGTGCAGGAGCTTCCAACTGCATGGAGTTGGGCTGCGCCACCGTTCTGGAATGTGGATAAATTCACCAACTTGAAAGCTCTTGTAGGCTATGTTGTTAAGTGATAAAACAAGTTGCAGCCAGGCGCAATTGCTCATGCTTGTAATCCTAGCACTTTGGGAAACTAAGGTGGGCATATTGCTTGAGCTCAGGAGTTCGAGACCAGCCTATGCTACATGGCAAAACCCTATCTCTACAAAAAATATAAAAAATTAGTTGGGCACAGTGGCGTGGGACTGTGGTTCCAGCCACTCGGGAGGCTGAGGTGGGAGAATCGCTTAAGCCTGGGAGGTTGAGAGTGCAGTGAGCTGTGATCACACTACTGCACTCCAGCCTGGGCGACACCGCAAGACCCTGTCTCAAAAAAAAAAGTTGTAGAAGAAGAATGTGTATTTTTTTTTCTAAGATGGGGGCAACATACAACTATATGTATATATATTTCCTTATGTTTCAAAAACAAATAACAGAAGATTAGAAGCTAAGGAGAAGGCCAGGTGCAGTGGCTCACACCTATAATCTTAGCACTTTGGAGGCCGAGGCAGGCAGATCACGAGGTCAGGAGTTCATGACTAGCCTGGCCAACATGGTGAAACCCTGTCTCTATTAAAAATACAAAAAGTTAGCTGGGCATGGTTGTGGGCACCTGTAATCCCAGCTACTTGGGAGCCTGAGGCAGGAGAATCGCTTGAAACTGGGAAATGGAGGTTGCAGTGAGCCGAGATTGAGCCGTTACTCTCCAGCCTGGGCAACAGAGCAAAATTCTGTCTCAAAAAAAAAAAAAAAAAGTGTTTAGTGCATGTCCTTTCAGAAATACACATAATACATATACATATGTATTTGTATGTGTGTATGTATGAATATATTTTTCGAGGGATATACATAAAAATGTTAACAGTTGGTGTCATGCTGTAATCCCAGCACTTTGGGAGGGGGAGGTAGGAGGATCACTTGAGCCCAAGAGGTTGAGACTAACTTGGGCAACATACAGAGACCTCGAGTCTTTCTTTTTTTTTTTTTTCGTTTGAGATGGAGTCTTGCTCTGTTGCCCAAGCTGGAGTGCAGTGGTGCAGTCTCGGCTCACTGCAACCTCTTCCTTCCAGGTTCAAGTGATTCTCCTGCCTCAGCCTCCTGAGTAACTGGGATTACAGTACCCACCACCATCCCCAGCTAATTTTGGTATTTTTTTTAGTAAGACAGGGTTTTGCCATGTTAGCCAGACTGATCTTGAACCCCTGACCTAAGGTGATCCACCCACCTTGGCCTCCCAAAGTGCTGGAATTACAGGAATGAGCCACCATGCCCAGCCAATCTTGTGTCTTTTTAAAACAAAGTTAACAGTGATAATCTTTGGTTAGTAGGGTTATGGTTAGTTTGTTGTTGTTTGCTTCTCTGTATTTCCTGATTTTTTTTTTTTATGGTGAACAATGGATTATCTGTATATTAAAAAATATTTAAAGGATATAAAGTCTGGAAGGGTAGATGCAAAATATTTTCTTATCTGTACTTACTTTTTTCTACAATGAACAAAGCATTAGTGTAATTTCAAAAAGTTAATTTGAAATCAATAATAGGTTATATAAAGTCCTGGTTTTAAGTTAAAAAGTCAATTATTTTCCAAAAGTCTATTTTAAAAGTAGAGCATAAGAGAGAGTGGGCTTGGAAAAAGTTTATTTTTATAAGCCCTGGAGATCTTGATTGACTTATTTAGGCCAACAGAGTAAGTTTGCAGTTAAGAAATCTAGTGCCTGGTTAGGGTATTATGTCAAGAAATATTGTGTCCTCTTCAAGAGGTATTGTCAGTGTAGTCTGCACCTACTGGAACACATCTGGAGAAGCTGTTCATTTTGGCTCCTTTCTTTAAATGGAACAAACTAAGTGAAGCAGCTGAAGGAGGCCAATATGGTTATAGCTTGTGTGGTGTGAAAGTGACCAGCCTGAGGAGAAGGAACTTGTGGAAATGTGACAGCCAGCTGCCAATATGTGAAAGAATACTGTGGGGAGTGGTGGTCAAAGAGGAGAATTTATGAGAAAGCACATTTCACTTAGGTCAACAATGGGGAGAACTTTCTGTTTGCATTTTCCCTCAGTGAATGGGCCTCTTTACAGAGTGTCAGAGACTGGGGAACAATGTCTTAGACTCAAGTTTCTTTCTTGGGAGAAAAATTGGGTGGCAGGAGCTCTAAGTTCTTTCTGCCTATGAGACTGAATTAACCAAAAGAAAAATAGATCTTGCCTGGGTGGGCACGGTGGCTTACACCTGTAATCTCAGCACTTGGGGAGGCTGAGGTGGGAGGATCACGTGGGCCCAGGAATTCAAGACCAGCCTGCCTGGGCAACATATTGAGACCCTCATCTCTACAAAAAATAAAAAAAAATTAGTCTGGCTTGGTGGGGTGTTCCTGTGGTCCTATAGCTACTCAGGAGGCTGAAGTGAGAGGATTGCTTGAACCCAGAAGGTTGAGGTTGCCAAGAGTCATAATTGTGTCACTGCACTCCAGCCTGGGTGATAGTGGGAAACCGTGTCCCCCACTCCCCCCCAAAAAAGGAAAAGAAAAATAGATTTTGTTCACATATAAAAACTGAGACTAGATTAAGCTTGGATTAAGAATTTTGCCTTTCATTTTCACTTTGACTTTGCTTCCAAACTCTGAAACTTTCAATGTTTGAGATTGACTTCATTAAGTTGCATTTTGTACTGAGAAGTAAACTTCAGTCTTCAGTGTCTTGCTATCTTACACAGAGGGAGTTAAATGAGCGGCTGTCTAAATGCACTAAGCCATATGCTATCTGAGTATTCAAGGAAAAGCTAGATGAATAACCCGCAAAACTAGCATCTGATGGTTAAGAGCACAGCTGCCTGGGTTTGAATCCTGGCCTTATGCCTTAGGTTCCTTACCTGCAAAAATGGCTGTGGCAGTGCCAGCCACAGGCTTGTTGTGAGCTTGAGAACATGGCCTTCATTATGCATTTCACCTATATACTCCTTGAGGGCACCTAGTTATTCAATAAATCATTAGTAAATGAGTGACTGAATAAATAAATGAAATTACAAAAGTCCTTTACCTGACCTTGGGTACATTGACCTGAACTCACTGAATGTAGAAGTGACACTTTATACTTTGAGACTAAATTCAGTTTATCTTACATCCCACTCTACCCTCTATGTTCTGCCTAATTGGACCATCTATTTTCTGAGAAATATGATTTCCTTCCTTCCTTCCTTCCTTCCTTCCTTCTTTCCTTTTCTTTCTTTTTAAAATTTAAAATTTATTATTATTTTTTTTATTGACACAAAGTCTCTCTGTTGCCTACTAGAGTGCAGTGGTATGATCTTGGCTTACATCAACCTCTGCCTCCCAGGTTCAAGCAATTCTGCAGCCTCCCAGGTAGCTGGGATTACAGGTGCCTACCACCATGCCTGGCTAATTTTTGTATGTTTAGCGAAGACCATGTTGGCCAGGCTGGTCTCGAACTTCTGACCTCAAGTGATCCACACACCCGCCTTGGCCTCCCAAAGTGCTGAGATTATAGGCATGAGCCACCGAGCCAGTCCTATTTTTTTTTAATTATATTTTTTGAGATGGAGTTTCACTTTTGTTGCCCAGACTAGAGTGCAATGGTATGATCTCGGCTCACTGCAACCTTCACCTCCTGGTTCAAGTGATTCTTCTGCCTTAGTTTACCAAGTAGCTGGGATTACAGGTACGCACCACGATGCCTGGCTAATTTTGTCTTTTTAGTAGAGATGGGGTTTCACCATGTTGGTCAGGCTGGTCTCAAACTCCTGACCTCAGGTGATTCACTCACCTCAGCCTTCCAAAGTGCTGGGATTACAGGCATGAACCACTGCACCTGGCCTTAATTTTTTTTTAGAGATAGAGTCTTGCTCTGTTGCCCAGGCTGGTCTTGAACTCCTGGCCTCAAGCGATCCTCCTCCTTTGGCCTCCCAAATGTTGGGATTATAGGTGTGAGCCACTGCACCTGGCAGAAATACGATTCTTAAATTAGGGTTAACTTTTTGGAGACTTGTTTTAGAAATGACTCATTTTTTATGAATGAGTTATGACTGTCTGAGAATACTTGGATGTGATGACCTGAATAATTTTTGTGTTGGGCCTTCTTCCAGCATACAAAGTTCAGACCAGAATATTTTTGGGAAGAATTTGATTGAAATTGCCAGATTTTTTTTTAAAGGTACAAGATAATTATGATTGTGTTCCCTCTCAGATATTGAATTCTTTCGTTCTATGATTTTCTAGAGAATGAAGATCTAGAAAACAACAAGGATACCTCTTCATTGGCTTCTGCCACTGATCCAGAACCCTGTTCCTCACCCCACAGGTAACCACTTGGGATAAAACGTTTTCAGAGGCTTTATCGTTTGAGATGAGGAATTGGTGAAAGAAATTTGGGTAGTGACTTTAAGGTGGAAGAGAAGTTGAAGTAAAGAATATGGATAGTTTTGTCATTAATCAACCCTCAAGTGTGTTTAGGAACAATGTCAGATCTATTTCAGGTTATACACTTTTCCTTTACTCTCAGAGAATAAACTATAACAAATAGTCTAGTGTAGTGTCCTCATTTATCTTCTCCTGAAGATCGTGTTCAAATGTTAAAATATTTGAAGGAGACTCCAAGTGGACTTGCAAGAGAATGCATGTTTGGTTTTTACCCATAAAATACATACACACATACACATGCTCTCACTAAAGCAATTGGAATTTTTTTATTCTATAGTTTTCAGATTAAACCATTATGATGGCCTTTAGGTTTTCTTTCTTAATTTCCTTCTCTGCCATCTCATCCAACCACCATCGTTTTTTTTTTTTTTTTGAGATGGAGTCTTGCTCTATTGCCAAACTGGAGTGCAGTGGTGCAATCTCAGCTCACTGCAACCTCTGCCTCCGGGGTTAAAGTGACTCTTCTGCATCAGCCTCCCGAGTAACTGGGCCTACAGGCATGCACCACCACGCTTGGCTAATTTTGTATTTTTAGTAGGGATGGGGGTTTACCATGTTGGCCAGGATGGTCTCGATCTCCTGACCTCATGATCCGCCCACCTTGGCCTCCCAAAGTGATGGGATTGCAAGTGTGAGCCACCGTGCCCATCCCCAACCACCATCATTGATATTAGAATGTATAACAGAAAGGGAAGAGGGGTACTGAGCCCTGAAAAGAGTAGAAACCATGAAGCACTAATACAATAACTAATGAAATCCTGTATTTTGGCAAAACCCTGATTAGTTCATGAGACAGTGTTGTCCAATAAATCTGTGGTCTCCACACAGAATTGATGGGGTGGAGGTGGTGGCACCTGTCAGGGTATTTCAGAAATCTGTTACTTCTTGAGTTCCATTTATAAGTTATTTCCTCGTGCTGGGCGCAGTGGCTCACGCCTGTAATCCCAGCACTTTGGGAGGCTGAGGCAGGTGGATCACGAGGTCAAGAGATCGAGACCATCCTGGCCAACATGGTGAAACCCCGTATCTACTAAAAATACAAAAAATTAGCCAGGTGTGGTGCTACATGCCTGTAGTCCCAGCTACTTGGGAGGCTGAGGCAGGAGAATTGCTTGAAACTGGAAAATGGAAGTTGCAGTGAGCCAGGATCATGCCACTGCACTCCAGCCTGGTGATGGAGTGAGACTCTGTCTCCAAAAAAAAAAAAAAAAAAAAAGTTCTTTCCTCTTGCTTTTGCCTGTGAAATAATTTGTATGATTAATATAATTATAATATAGTTGATTAATACAGCCGTGTTTTTTTTAATATTCCTCTGTAATAATGGTAATGAAATAGTTACTTTTTTTTGAGACGGAGTCTCACTGTGTCTACTAGGCTGAAGTATAGTGGCGTGATCTTGGCTAACTGCAACCTCCACCTCCTGGGTTCAAGTGATTCTCCTGCCTCAGTCTCCTGAGTAGCTGTGATTACAGGTGCCTGGCACCACACCTAGCTAATTTTTGTATTTTTAATAGAGATGGGGTTTTTTGCCATGTTGATCAGGCTGGACTTGAACTCCTGACCTCAGGTGATCTGCCCGCCTTGGCCTACGAAAGTGCTAGGATCATAGGTGTGAGCCACCGTGCCTGACCGAAATAGTTACTTTTGTCAGACATTTCTATTTGCCAAATACTATACTAGTTGTATTTATTATCTCATAAAGTTTTAATTCTCATAACAAGCCTCATGAAACAAGTATAGCTGCTTTTTTTTTTTTAAAGATGAAGCAAATGAAACAGTGAGTTCAATAATTCGCCCAAGTTCACATAGCTTTAGGTTTGTTCAACTCTATAGCTTATTCTCTTAACCAGCCAGAAAGTTTTGAGTTCTATGCCTGGAGCTACGCAGTTAATATTCATAATAACCCTGTAGAAGACATAGCCTCCTCAAGACATTGATTAATCGAGACCATTCATGTTTTCATCAAGTCTTCTGAGGAGAACTCCTTTCCAACTTCTTGCCATCATCCCTTTTCTTACATGCTGATTTGAAGGATCTTTGGTGTCGGGTTTTGGCACAGAGGTGTCTTTGTTTTTTTAAATTGTGCAAATTTATGAGGTCCATGATACATTTTTTACATGTATATAATGCACAGTGATCAAGTCAGGGTATTTATGGTGTCCATTTGCCAAAGTACACAGAAATGTTTTGTCCTAAGGATCAATAAATCTTTTAAAATGAGAAACACAGAACATCCTTAGACAAAATAACTTTTTTTTTTTGAGATGGAGTCTTACTCTGTCACCCAGGCTGGAGTGCAGTGGTGTGATCTTGGCTCACTGCAACCTCCATCTCCCAGTTTCCAGCTAGTCTTCTGCCTCAGCCTCCCTAGTAGCTGGGACTACAGGCATGTGTCATCACACCTTTCTAATTTTTGTATTTTTTAGTAGAGATGGGGTTTCACCATATTTGTCAGGCTGGTCTCGAACTCCTGACCTCGTGATGTTCCCGCCTCAGCCTCCCAAAGTGCTGGGATTACAGGTGTGAGCCACCGCATCCAAGGATTTAATTTTTCACTTTTGTTTCTAACATCTATTGAGTGAAGATAAGAATCTAGTGAGTGTGATGCCTGAGGCTCAGTGCTTATGCTTATGTGTCTGTTGGAAATGGAAGCCGCGCAATTTTCTGTCTTTTCTAGTGAGGCTGGCTGGCTGGCCAGGCTTTTTCCTCCCTTTGAGATGGCCTCCCTGCTCCAGGTCAGTACACACCAGAAGCTTAAAGTGAAGGCTTTTCCTTTACATGGCTTATCACCAGCATCGAGTGATTTGAAATTCATCTTTCCCCACATGCCCTTTTCTAATTCTCCAGAGCATAAAATGCTAATGTGAATATTAAATTTACGTGACTGGCACATATCCTGCTTAACATAATTTTATTATTTATTTACTGAGACAGAGTCCCGCTCTGTTGCCCATCCTGGAGCAGGGGGGGCAGTCCTAACTCACTGCAGCCTCAAGCTTCTGGACTCATGCAACCCCCCACCTCAGCCTTGTAGCTAGGACCACTGGCATGACCACCATACCCCGCCTTAAAATGTGTTTTATTTTTATTTTTTTATTTTTTTGAGACAGAGTCTTGCTCTGTCACCAGGCTGGAGTGCAGTGGCATGATCTTGGCTCACTTCAACCTCTGCCTCCCCAGTTCAATCGATTCCCCTGCCTCAGCTTCTGGAGTAGCTGAGACTACAGGCGCACACCACCATGCCCAGCTCATTTTTGTATTTTTAGTAGAGACGGGGTTTCACCATGTTGTCTAGGATGATCTTGATCTCCTGACCTTGTGATCCACCTGCCTTCCAAGGTGCTGGGATTACAGGTATGAGCCACCACGCCAGGCCCAAAATATTTTCTTAATAAGCAGAACCATGTTTTTTCAAGGTAGCATGCACAAAGGCAAAGAGACTAAATTTTAGATGTCACACACAGTAAAATCAGGCTAATGATTCAAATAACCTGTTGTAGTCTCACCTTCCCAATATTATAAATGATAGTCTGATCCAGAATTTCTGTTTTATTCCCAAGCAAAAATTAACTTATTCATTGTTTTATTCAACAAATATTTGGGGACTAATATTTATTCAACAGATGTTTGTTGGGAGCCTGCCACGTACCTGATACTGTTCTAGGTACTAAAGATACCACAAATGTGCAAAATAGTCCATCCTGCTCTCATGGAGGTTATGTTCTAGTCGGGGAAGTGGACAGAAAACAAGTACACATCATATTTCATAGACTCTTAAATTGCCATCAACTGTAAGATGTACTTTATGTACGTATCACCAAGAGAGGAAGAAATGCTTAAGATGGATTGTCTAATAGACCTCCCCATATGGAGCTGGGACCCCAAAAGCCTGCACCTTCATGAAAAGATAAAGAAAAAAATCCCCCCTTCCTCCCCCAGAAAAGGACAGCAAGGAAACTTGATTGTCTCAAACTTGACACTGTGTTATGAGAGAAAAAAATATCGCCTCTGAGAACAGGAACCACAGGTTGGTATTAGCCAGTGTCTTGTCTAAATTCACTCTGCCAGGATGATCTAAACAAGACCCTAAACAGATAACTTAATTCCTTTATTTATTTTTTTTTGAGACAGAGTCTCGCTCTGTCGCTAGCCAGGCTGAAGTGCAGTAGCGCCATCTTGGCTCACTGCAACCTCTGCCTCCTGGGTTGAAGCAATTCTCCTGCCTCAGCCTCCCGAGTAGCTGGGACTACAGGCACATGCCACCATGCCCACCTGACTTTTTTTTTTTTTTGTATTTTTAGTAGAGACAGAGTTTCGCCATGTTGGCCAGGATGATCTCGAGCTCCTGACCTCTTTATCTGCCCTCCTTGGCCTTCCAAAGTGCTGGGATTACAGGTATAAGCCACTGCGCCCAGCCTAGATAACTCAATTTCAAGGCATCTCAGATTGGTAGCATTCCTAAGTACTGGCAGGAGCAAATGCAAATCTCTTTCGGAAAGACTTGATGTCAGTCCAGGCCCATGCAGTTTTAAGACATCATCAATTTTTAAGACATCCTATCTTTCAGTTGTGTTAAAATCTAAAAACCAGTGTGCATCTTGCAATTAACAAAATATAGTCCATATCATGTCAGGCAGTAATAGATGCAGTGAAGAAAAATGAAGCCAGGTAAGGGCAGGAACAGTGACAGGGCCAGGGAGGGGTAGCCATTTTATATACAGACCTCTGGGAAATGTCACAGCAGAAAAACTACCGGAAGGAAGTCTTCTGTTAACTAAAGAAGAGTTAACGTCCTACCAGAGTATTCTAGGTAGAGGTTACAGCAAATGCGAAAACTCTCAAGTGGGAGAGTACTTGGGGTGTTTGAGGATTCTCAAGGATTGAAGGTTTTGTGGCTGGAGGGACCAGGGCAGAGTGAGGATTCTGGGAGGTGAGGTCAGAGTGCAAAGGGCCCTAGGGTTCCAGGTGGCAGGTTTGGTTCCTGGCGCTGTGCATACAGAGGCAATGAGATCCCAGTGTCTGCCACCAAGCTTACTTTCTAGTAGAGGAGGCAGGTGATACACAGTGTCAGGAAACAGAAATGGACTATAATTTCTGGGCTGAAGAACATAAAAATAGGCCCACAGCCTAGGCCAATTTACAGCTTAGCACTGAATTACTCAAGTGAACCTATAAAGATCAACAGAATCCCACAGCTCTGATTCTCAGAGTGACCGCCTCTTACCTGTCCTGAGATAGGTTGGAGTAATTTTAGATATTCCAAAAGATGGCTCTGTTTTATCTGAAGAGGTAACTTATAAAATAGGATTGATTTTTCTTGTTTATGTTTAAAAAGGAAAGAAACAAACTAATAAACTCTAAAATAAAGCCTCCTTCTGTTTCCCCCATGAAGTGTATAGTACCATTTTCCTGTCATTTACTCAGCCTCTCCGAGGAAATGATGCCTTCCTGCAGGGATTCTCAGACCTTTATGTTCTTAAAAATTATTGAAGACCCAAAGAACTATTGTTAGTGTGGGTTATGCCTATCAATATTTACTGTATTAGAAACTAAAACTGAAAAATTAGGATATGATTATTCATTCATTTAAAAATAATAATTACATGCTGTATAAAAAACATGTTTTTACTTAAAAACAACTAATTTTCAAAGCAAAGAACGTAGTACAAAGAGAGACACTGTACATCTCTTTAATATTTGGCTTAATAAAAGATAGCTGGATTCTCCTCTCTGCTTCTGAGTTTATTCCATTGCAATACCACATGTCAAATAATCTCTGGAAAATTCCACTGTACACTCTTGAGAAAATGAGAAAGAGAAAGGGAAATAACATTTTTGTATCATTATTATGAAACAGTTTGAATTTCACAGACTCCTCTGAAGGGTCCTGAGGACCCCAAGGATTCCCAGACCATACTTTGAAAACTGCCATTCAAAAAAATCCATGTCACCAAAAGGATTTGGTGATTTCCAGAAGGCCTGGGTTATTTTGCTACAGCCCTGTCACTAATATTCTAGTTTCTCTGAAGCCAGGGGAAATGGAAGAGAGCATAAATCATTCCCTTGCCTCTTTAAAATAAACTATTCACCTAGCTGTGTTTGAAGTCATTGGGATTGTTGATTAATGTGCTTAAAAAAAGGAGAGAAAGTGATGACCCCTGGCACTGAACGGGGACAGGGTATGAAATGGAACTGCTGAAAGACTGCTTCAGGGATAACTGCGGAGAGAGTTGCCTTGAACATCAGTTTGTACTTCCTTCGTTTTGGTGCTCAGCCTCCCTTAGGCAGGGCTCCTCCTTTTGCTTCTAGCCAGTGTCTTTGATGTAGAACTGAACTCAGATTCTTTTTTTTTTCTTTTTTTTTGAGAGGGAGTTTCATTCTTGTTGCCCAGGCTGGAGTGCAATGGCACGATCTTGGCTCACCACAACCTCCACCTCCTGGGTTCAAGCGATTCTCCTGCCTCAGCCTCCTGAGTAGCTGGGACTACAGGTGCATGTCACCACACCCGGCTAATATTTGTATTTTTAGTAGAGATGGGTTTTCACCATATTGGTCAGGCTGGTCTCAAAGTCCTGACCTCAGGTAATCTGCCTGCCTTGGCCTCCCAAAGTGTTGGGATTATAGGTGTGAGCCTCTGTGCCTAGCCTCTAATAATTCTTCAGTTAAAATTCTGTGGGTCTCAGAGTGAGGAATAACATTAGAACTCACAGAAGCAGAGGGCAGAATGGTGGTTAATAGGAGTTGGGGCCTGTGGGTGGGCTGGGGAGATGTTGGTCAAGTGGTCTAAAGTGTCAGACAGGAGGAGCAAGTTCTGGAGATCTTTGTACAGCATGGTGACTATAGTTAATAATAATGTATACTTAAAAATTGCTAAGACAGTGGATTTTAAATGTTCTTGCCACAAAAAAAGAGTATGTGAGGGGATAAATGTGTTAATTAGCTCAATTTAATCATTTTACAATGTATACATACATCAAAAATACATTATATACCATAAATATATGCTGTACTTTGTCAGCTAAAATAAATAAATAAAAGAAATGACAATGACAAAGCAAACTAGACCGGTAGTCCATCTCAGATGACTGAGCTATGCGTTCAACATGGTTCTCCTAGCCTTTGACCTGGCTTTGTTAGTCTTTGTTTTCACACTGCCAACACTTTACTGTGGACCAGTTCAGCCTCAACACCTTACTGTGGACCATTTCGGCCCTGGGCAGTGATCGGCTAAAGTGACAGTAGACTGAAATGCCAGGGGCAGGTGGGGCTGGGGTGTTTCGAATGTTGTTTTATTTCAGAGTTTCTCTAGGACAATTGTGTATTTTAAAGAGCCCTTGAATTGACATGCTCTCTTCCTCTGAGAGGCCACAGATGGTATCTCCAGTGAGTAAGGATGCCACGGAAGATCTGAGGAAAGCAACTGGTGCCTTGGATGCTCAGGCTGTGGTGAAACAGGATTTGCTGCCTGCAGACCAGACCCAGGTCCTCAGTGAGGTAGGGGGCAGATTCTGGCTCTTTCCTATGAAAGGAGGCACCAGAATGTGGACGCATAATGGGTGGGTTGGAATTAGAAAGCACTGCGAGGGTGGCTCCCAGAATTCTCTCTTTGCCCTTGAATTTAGGGCATTTTGGTTTTAATTATTATATGGAGAATGATTATTTGTATCTTCCACCGGGCCCATCATTATACTGGCACCCAGTAGGCACCTATTCAGAAAATGAAGTGTTAGAATGAATGTTCATGTGTTCTCTAAAATCCTGTTCATGTGAGGAGCCTGAAGTCATTGGACTCTTGCTTTTGCTTTGCTTGTGGTTGATCTATTTAGTATTTATGATAGAAGCTTTTTTTTTTTTTTGAGATAGGGTCTCCGTATGTCACCCAGGCTAGAGTGCAGTGGCAGGATCTCAGCTCACTGCAACCTCCACCTCTAGGGATGAAGCAATCCTCCCACCTCAGCTTCCTGAGTAGCTGGGATTACAAGTGTGCATCACCACACCCAGCTAATTTTTGTATTTTTCATAGAGATGGGGTTTCACCATATTGGTCAGGCTGTTCTGGAACTCCCTACCTCAGGTAATCCATCCGCCTTGGCCTCCTAAAGTGCTGAGATTATAGACATAAGCCATCATGCCCAGCCTTTTTTTTTTTTTTTTTTTTTTTTTGAGACAAAGGTTTCACTCTGTCACCCAGGCTGCAATGCAGTGGTACAGTCATGACTCACTGCAGCCTCAAACTTCTGGGCTCAAGTGATTCTCCCACCTCAGGCTTCTAAGTAGCTTTATAGAGCTACTTGGGAGATTGAGGTGGGAGGATCACAAGGTCAAGAGTTCGAGACCAGCCTGGCCAACATGGTGAAACCCAGTCTCTACTCAGAATACAAAAATTAGCTGGGCATGGTGGTGCATGCCTGTAATCCCAGCTATGTGGGGGGCTGAGGCAAGAGAATTGCTTGAACCTGGGAGGCAGAGGTTGCAGTGAGCTGAGATTGCACCACTGCACTCCAGCCTGGGCAACAGAGCAAGACTAAGACTCTGTCACTAAATAAATAAATAGCATAGTGGTACCCCTGCCAGAGGTATGGGGGTACGGTTGTTTGTATCATTTATTCGCATATGTATTAGAGTAATGATTGGTATTAGTGTCAGTGAAGACAACACCAGACATTATAATTAGATCTGTGTAACACTTTACAGTTTACAAGCATTTGTATCTGTAACACTTCATTTACTCCTGAGAACACCCCTTGTGAGATAGGTGCAGTTGTGTCTCCATTTAAGAAATAAGGAAACTGAGGCTAAGGGCTGTTAGAGACTTTACTAAGATGTCGCAACCTAATCCTTTATTTAGCATTTTAGAGAAGGAAGGATTTATTTAAGCACACTAGCCAAAGTCTGATTTACTTCCGCTAGCAAAGGAGGTAAGAATTGGAGGGATTGTTCTCCAGAAACAGATATGAGAATGCAGCCTGGGAGGATTACAAACTTGATTTATATGTTTCCCACAAATACAATTCCAGCCTCTTAACTGGACTACTGACTCACTGATGTGCTCTCCCCTGTGGGCAATCAGTATAGATTTCTAGTTGAGTTGCCTGCCAACTGTTTGGAGAAGGGGCAGGAAATTAAGCTATAATAGCATGAAACCAGGAACACGAATCTGAGTGATTGAAGGGGATCTCACCAGGGAGACATTGTAAGCTCCTGCATGAGTTAGTGAGGGCTTTGAGTATCAAATGCCATTTGCATTCTTCCATGTAAGTCAGATGTGTGGTAGCAAATGTACTGTTTAAATGCAAGTCCTGGGGCTGGTCTAAGGTGAAATTGTAACTATTGATAGAACACTGTTAGGGACTTCAAGACTGAGACCACCTATAACCCAAGGTGGGCTGTGGATGAGAGAGAGAATGACTATAAACCAGATTCTCTCTCTGTGGTGCTTTGGTGTGCTGATTGACAGTAATGTAGAAGTAACCCTTGAGTGGGAATTGTAGCAGGAGGATGTGTGGCACAGTGAGAATCAAACTAAACCCTAGGAGCAAGAGCTGTTAACGAGAGGAGCCACAAGGAGGTACTGTGCAGGTGGTGAGGTAAGACCAAGGCATGGCCCGGAATCACTGTCAATGTAAATACTGTCAGCAACCTGCAAGAGTGTTCGTGGGCAAGAACCTTATAAAGGGTTTGGTGCAGAAAAGTCGCAAAAGGTAGGAAACAGTTTTTAAACAATGGAACATTTTGGTGGCTTAAAAAAAATTAGTAGAATGTATTAACAACTCCTACTTGGAAGAAAGAGAAGTAACATTGACTAGTACGACTAGTACATTGAGCTTTGAGTGGAGATGGTGGAGATAATAGAGCAGGGGTGGGGCAGCCTTCATGCAAAAAGAGATTAATTAGAATCTGCCACTCTACTATGTCCTTTAACCAGAGTTCTGTTGTGCAGATGGCCAAGTATCAAGTTCCACAGAGGTCTGGGGACATCGTTATGATCCAATCTGAGCATACAGGAGCTATAGATGTTCTTTCAGCTGATTTGGAATCTGCAGATCTTCTGGGGGACCACAGGAAAGGTGAGACCTTTGGGAGTAAAGGAGGTGGTCTTTTTGTTTTCAATAGATACTTAAAGAAAGGCAGGCAGACAAATGGAAGGAAAGAAAATGACTTGTGAAAGGAAGTCCAAGAAGCCAGTAGAAAGAATGTCTGACTCTGCCAACCTCTCTTAGCAAAATGCCAGGGGTACTCATGTTTCCTCATAGTTTCTCAGTGGTAAGCTGCCTGTCCTTTCAGTCTCCCCACCTCTGATGGCTCCTCCATGCATCTGGACATTTGCCAAGGTGAAGGAATTCAAAAGCAAGCTGGGCAAGGAGAAGAACAGCCGACTGGTGGTGAAGCGTGGTGAGGTGGTGACCATCAGAGTACCTACTCATCCAGAGGGGAAGCGTGTCTGCTGGGAGTTTGCAACCGATGACTATGACATTGGCTTTGGAGTTTATTTTGACTGGACCCCTGTAACCAGCACTGACATAACTGTGCAGGTCAGTGATTCCAGTGACGACGAGGAAGAAGAAGAGGAAGAGGAGGAGGAGATTGAAGGTAAATTTAATTTTAGCATGATTTGCAGTTTTCTGGCTTAACCTAATTTCTGGTGACCATTTCCTGGGTTGTACCAGTCTTCCTCTTCCTTCGAATGCATTTGAGGAACTTAGCATTACAAACTGAGCTGAGTGGTACAGGCCGAAGAGAATGCTCTGATGGGGTTGATATTGCCGCCTTAGTTGAAAAAGCTTCTTTCCCTTTAATCAGGACCTTGCTGTTTTCCTAACACCTTCCTGAGGGCAGGAGCAGAAAGAGGGTGAGTCATGCTGCAGTTTAGAGGGATGGTCTTTCAGGTCGAGTTTAAGCCAGAGTTGATTTTACATCTCTCTCTTAGTTTGGAGATATTTATTCTTGGCCTGGAACCAAAGTGAGTGATTCCAGTTTGCTAAAGGTATCCATTCTCTCCCTACCCCAAACTCTCATAGCTGGCTATTGGTTACTTCTTTACTTCATGCCCAGAGAAGTTTTTTTTTGTTTTTTGTTTTTTTGTGATGGAGTCTCACTCTGTCCACTAGGCTGGAGTGCAGTGGTGCAATCTTGGCTTACTGCAACCTCCGCTTCGCGGTTTCAAGCGATTCTCCTGCCTCAGCCTCCTGAGAAGCTGGAATTACAGGCCTGCACCACCATGCCCGGCTCATTTTCATATTTTTAGTAGAGACGGGGTTTCTCCATGTCAGTCAGACTGGTCTCAAACTCCTGACCTCGTGATCTGCCCGCCTCAGCTTCCCAAAGTGCTGGGATTACAGGTGTGAGCCACCACGCCCAGCCCCCTGAGAAGTTTTAAAAGGGTCTCTGGGCTCCATTCCAGTTGTTATTTGTAGTGTCTACTAAGGATGGCCCAGAGGCATTTTTTTCAGGTAATGTAAGAGTAGGTTCTAAGCATTAGTCTTATTCCTTGATTTTCTTATATAATCTTAAAATCAATCCCTTAACGTGCTTCTTCATAGAAAAGCAAGCCTGCAGGAAAATCTACAGGTATTTGGGAAAGAGGAGAACCTTGTATCTTATTTGCTGCTTTTCAGGAAGCCAAGTAAAAGTGCTAGGGTCACTTTATAACATGTTTTCTGCAATTCCTATCTCCATTAGCTTGTCCTTTCACCTATTAAATGAAAGAATGTCAGAATTTTTCCTTCTAAGTATCTTTCTCCCTCTTAGAAATGTCCAGACACTTCTGAAGCTAGGAAGGCTCCTATCAGGCTAAACCATTGTTTCTCAGTGGAGACATTATTGGCATTTAGAATGGGACACTCCTTTGTTGTGTAGGTACTATCCTGATTTTAGCACTCTTGGACCCTTGAGTACTAAATGCAGGTATCACCTAGTAGTCACTGTGATGACCAAAAGATTACCAGACATTTCCAAATGTCTGTAGAAGGGCAGTCACTTCCCCCTTCTGTGAAAGCCACGTGGTTACCAGGTCCTTCTGCTCACTTTGAGGTAGGGCCTATGCAGTCTCTGAACACATATCCAAACACTGCCATTTTGCTCATGCAGAACCCGTTCCAGCTGGAGATGTGGAGAGAGGCTCCAGGAGCTCCTTGCGGAGTCGCTATGGGGAGGTGATGCCTGTGTACCGGCGGGACAGCCACCGAGACGTGCAGGCTGGCAGCCATGACTACCCTGGGGAGGGCATCTACCTGCTCAAGTTCGACAACTCTTACTCCCTGCTGCGCAACAAGACTCTCTACTTCCACATCTACTACACCAGCTGAAGGACCTCTGGGACAGGGCAGGCTGTATTTGCTGGCTGAAGCAGCTGTCAGCTGGTGGCTTTTGTTGGGATAGGCAAGAGCTAAAGGTTCATGTGGGGCTCCTGAGCCTCACACCCTGTCTGGAATGTCTGACTGTTGACCCATGTAGCTTTTCCCCTTCTTGGCTTCTGCAGGTGGTGATGTAGTGCCCCTGTTCTGTGGTCCCTGACTCATATACTTCTTGCTTCAGACTCCAGCAAATTCCCTCTTGAAGGCACCTATCGGGCATAGCCTAAAAGGAAGCAGCGCGTTGTTTTTTTAAAAATAGATTTATCTTGGCACAGGTTTATCATTCAGATTGCCGCCCTCTCCTCTTCCAGAGCCTTTATTGCCAATGCATTTAGTGGTACCCACTCTTTACCTTTTGAGGTACCAGAAGAGGGAAAAGCACATTGTCCATAAAGGAGCCCAATCTTTTGGTTGGAGAAAGCTCTGTCCAGCCTGTCACCACTGCCGTATTCCTGCCTGCTGGTTATTCTTGGTCTCTGCATAACTGAGAGACCACACTGCCTTTGGAGGGCTGTTACTATTCCTGATGGTAGACACCTCCTCCTTTCTCTTTCCTAAATCTATGTTTTTGCCATTACAGCAAGAACTTCCATGCAATCTAAAATGATGATCAACGTAACCTAAGATCTTGTGGGAAGAAAAACTGCCTCCATTATTTCCTGTTCCAAGGGCACTGGCAGTCAAAGTGGGTAGAGTGGAAATTAGGTATTGAATTGATGGCAGAACCCACATATTTGAAGGTCAAGTGTTAGTTTTTTTTCTTTTTATATAATCAAAGAAGGAATGGTATCATCAGAGAGAAGATGAAAAACAAACAAAAAAAACCACTCCAGAGTCCCCACCACTTTTTTTTTTTTTTTGTCTTTAGAGTAGGAGTGCTATTTAGAAATGTTGCTTTGGAATCAAATGCACTGAAACCCAATCAGCTTTCCAAAGTTTCTGCATTTAGGTTTCTTGCATTGAGGGCTTAAATCTTTTGGTGTTCAGAGTCCCTTAGTTAAGGTGATGATGAAGCTTCACTATTGCTGCTGATTGTATTTGTTCTTTACCTGACCAAAGCTTGCATTTCCCTGGTGACAGCATTTCCTCCTCTGTCACCCCTGAGGTTCAGGAGTGCCACAGAGGGCAGGTGGTGCTACAGCCAGTGGTCACCAGAGCACCAGATGCTGGGCCCCCAGGCAGAGAAGGAGATGGTGAGATGGGACCTCAGCAGTCTCTGTGTTTGTACTTCTCTGTCTCTTACTCCTCGTGTTACGTCTGTTACTGCCTACGAATTCTGAAGAATAGATTTATTTATTACTGTATTTATTTTTTTAGCACATTTCATTTTGCCTTTGAAACAGTTTCCATCTGTTTCTCAGAAGGCTTCCCATCTGTTCTGAGCCACGGAGGCCCCCTCTTTTACGGAGTTAGAGAAGATATTTTTAGGAGCGTTTGGGAAGCGATGATGTTTTATTTCTGCAGGTCAGTCCTGTGATGGCTTCGTGAGGAGTATGGCCCTTCAGAAAGGGATGATGCCACCTTATTCCATGTTTAGGGTACAGTTCGGCACTTCCGGTGAAGAATTATAAGTTGTGAGGGAATCTGCCCGTTTGCTGGGGATTGAGTGCAGAGGAATTGCCCAGCCAATCAGAGATATCCTGTGATTCCAGGATTTCGGAGTCCTTTGTCTCTGAGGAGTCACCTTCTTCGTGATGTTTTCTTTGCCTCACTCCTTCATTGTTGGATTCCTCACACCAAGGTTCTATCCCTACAGTAGCATAACTCAAGGAGCAGGACTCTTCCCAGTAGGTCCCGAGTAGCATCTACATCACATCAAATGCAATACATCCTGCGCCTTTTCTTCCCCTCGGAGCAAAGCCCCAAGTGGGATAGGATGTTGGGGATTGCCAGAGCATTCCCCTCCTCTGAGCTGCATCATACCTCCATTATTTTATATTTGCAAATGTGTTTTGTAGAGGATTACACTGGCCAAAATTTATATACCTTTAAAGAAATTATTGTGGTGACTGTCTGTTGAGGCAGTGAAGACCAGATTTGCTGTGTGTTATCCCATTGGATAGCTGAGTGGCTGCTCTTGCGTCCTTGAAGTCAAATCATGCCTTAGCTAATTGAATATAATCTTTGTAAAATAATTTTCTACTGAGCTGTTTTCTAGTCAGCTAAAGCCTTGCTTATTTTTCCTGTTTATTATTAACTTCTGCCTTCCTCTCAAAATGAAACTGTCAGGCCATATATAGCAAGCTCCCAAGGATAACACTTGTTATTGATGATTTCTTTTCACCGTGAGATTCTCTGCCTATTTTCTTTGGAATGCTAGTTCTGTTGCATCAGGGAAACCTGAGGGACTTGTTCTTTTCGCCTCTGTGTGCCTGTTAGCATCTGGTCACTTTGGAAGTCCTAGGCGTGGTTACATTTCATTCCATACTGGTTTTTCACCGTATGGTTTCAGGGTTTCTGTGTTCCAAAATAGCTAAAAGAAGATATTTTCACTGTCTGATTCACTATCCTCACATTACATTTCTGAAACAATTGAACTTTAGGGGCAAGATATTATTTACTGAAGCACAGGTAATTACTGAGAACCCGCAGCTCAGCAAATTCTAAGAGATGGTCATTTCCTCGGCCCCTCCCAGTCCAAATTTATAGACCCAAATGACGAAATGAAAATTGTTTGCTTTAATCCTCACCCTGTTCTCTAGAGCACAAATAAATATTAACAAGCAATTGAAAGAAAGTGCTTCATAGTAGGAGAGAGATTGGAATTCTCTATACAGAGTGACTTAGTTCTTACATTTATTTAGTTTTAGTTTTGCCACTTTGTTGAGACATAGGGCTTTTAGAAAGGAAGACTAAGTATTAATTTTTCCACCAATGTTTTATTGTGAAAAAATTTTAGCAAACAGCTTAAAAGAAATATAAATATACTGTAAACCAAAAAGTATCTGAGACAGGTCTGAATAAATTTAGAGGTTTATTTTGCCAAGGTTAAGAACCCATGACACAGCCTCAGGAGATTCTGAGAACACGTCCCCAAGGTAGTTGGGTTACAGCTTTTTGTTTGTTTGTTTGTTTGTTTGTTTTTGAGACGCAGTTTCGCCCTTGTTACCCAGGCTGGAGTGCAATGGCGCGATCTCGGCTCACCACAACCTCTGCCTCCTGGGATCAGGCAATTCTCCGGGATCAGGCAATTCTCCTGCCTCAGCCTCCCGAGTAGCTGGGATTACAGGCACGTGCCACCATGCCCAGCTAAGTTTCTGTATTTTTAGTAGAGATGGGGTTTCACCATGTTGACCAGGATGGTCTCGATCTCTTGACCTCGTGATCCACCCGCCTCGGCCTCCCAAAGTGCTGGGATTACAGGCATGAGCCACTGCACCCGGCCGGGTTACAGCTTTCTACACTTTACGGAGACAGAAGTTCCAGGCAAAGACATCAATCAATACATGTAGGGTATACATGGGTTTGTCCTGGGAAGGCAGGACATCTCGAAGATGGGTGTTTCTAGATCAGAGGTAGATCAAAGAGACTGGCAATTGGTTGAAAGAGTTAAGATCTACCTGAAAAGATGAAGTCAGGTTAAGTTAAAGTAAGGGAGGCTTGTGGAAGCTGAGGTTCTTGTCATGTAGATGAAGCCTCCAGGTAGCAGGCTTCAGAGAGAATAGATCATGAATATTTCTTATTAGACCTTAAAAGGTGTCAGACTCTCCAGAAAAGACCTAATCAGAGAAGGAGATTTTCTTGATTTGCAGTAGCTTTGAAGGTCTCTTAAAAAAAAATGGCCGGGTGCGGTGGCTCATGCCTGTAATCCCAGCAGATCACTAGGTCAGAAGTTGAAGACCAGCCTGGCCAAGATGGTGAAACCCTGTCTCTTTAAATAAAAAAAAAAAAAAAAGAAAGAAAAAAAAGGAGATTTTCTACAGAATGCAAATTTCCCCCAGAAGAAACGGCTTTGTAGGGCCATTTCAAAATATGTTAAATAAATATATTGGGGAGTAAAATACTTTGATTTCCTTTGGGGCCTGCTATCTGTCATGTGATGCTATATCAGAGTCAGGTTGGGATTTGGTATTTTATTGCCACAGAGAGTCTGTTTGGTTAGTCTTAAGATCTCTGTATTAACGTTAATGCTGGTCAGTTGTAGTTAAATTCCAAAGTGAAGAGGGTGAAAGGAGGCATGTCCGACCCTATATACCATACACCCTCCCACGTAAATTAAAAAATTTTTAACTACCAATTCTTAAGCAAAGATGATTCTAACATTCTGTTCCTTTTGACAAGTTCCAGTTAGAGAATGCTGAGAATGTCCCCTGCACAGACAACTTCAGCTCTGTCAGAGAGCCCCTGATTTTTAGCAGACCTGTTTCATTCAACATGGGTTATCCAGGAGGTGATCTTCATAAAAATGTTTCTTGGAGCCAGGCATGATGGCTCACTCCTATAGTCCCAGCACTTTGGAAGGCCAAGGTGGGCAGATCACCTGAGGTCAGGAGTTTGAGACCAGCCTGGCCAACGTGGTAAAACCCCGTCTCTACTAAAAATATAAAAATTTGCTGGGCCTGGTGGTGGGTGCCTATAATCCCAGCTACTCTGGAGGCTGAGGCAGGGAGAATCTCTTGAGCCCAGGAGGTGGAGGTTGCAGTGAACCAAGATCGTGCCATTGAACTCCAGCCTGGGAAACAGAGCGAAACTCCATCTCAAAAAAAAAAAAAAATTGTTTATTGGTCTCCAACTTTGAAAACCTGTGCTTTATTTCCCCTTTCCCTCAGGCCATGATCTCTGCAGTTTTCCTTACTAACTGGCATTTCAGTATAGGAGTGATTGCGAAGCTGCTCCAGAAGGGCTAATCTCTGTTGCTTCATGACACGACCTCAGGATCCTGATACTAAAACTCAATCCTCAGATAACAGGTAGCTTTATCATGGAAGTAGGTAGCAATTTGGAATTGACTATTCTTATTTTTTTTCTTAATGAATTGATATATGCACTTTAAAAAATATTTTTGTTATTTTGGGAAGAAAAACTTAGACTTTTAAAGTAGTGTATATTGTCCCATTATAATATGTACATGGAAGAGTGAAATCTGAATGCTGCCTTATATTAAACAGTGGGATTAGGTATTATCATAAAATGTCTTCATCTATAAAAAATAACGAGTTTATGTTTATGATGAGCCCTGCTCAGTCCCTCTTGAAGAGAATTAGTTGAAACCCAAACTCTAAAGTCAGTACTTTTATATTTGTTTGTTAAGAACGCTTATCTGCAAAAGGTTGGCATCTAAGGTGTGGAGTTGAGTGACCCTAATATTTACATAAAAGACTTGTTTTAATGGAGCATAAGGGAGGGGCATAAGTTAAACCATTTTGTGTGGCTTGAGACCTGACTTTTAAAATTGACCACCAGGAGTGAAAACAAAATAAAATGAGGGGCAAGGGGTAGGAGGTAGGAGTATGTGGGCAGGGGAGAGCAGAGCTATCAAATAGATCTTAGAATTTTGCTCAGAAATCACTGCTCCCTCTCAATTGTTATCCCTGCCTAAACCAAGAAGGCCAAAGAAAGTCCCTCCTGTTTGAATTCTTAAGCTAAGAAAACACTGTTGCCTAAAGCCTGTGATAGTGGAGCTCATTTACAAATAGGCATGCCTCACACACTGAGTCCAAAGGCAAGACATTGGCTTTGAAATCAGGCTCATGATCTCATTCCTATTATATGTACCTTGATTTCTTTTAGGCCTCAGGTATGTGGACCAGAGTTAATGTCATGACTCTTCATTCTAAGAGAGGATGAAAAGTTGCCCTAGAAATCTAGAGATGCATGTTTATTTAATTCCATAGTTTAAAAAAAAATCATTTTAAGCAGGTAGTTGTAGCTTATCTGGGGGTAAAATAATATATGTGAAATGACTTCCAGAGGACAAAGTATATTTTCTAAAGTTGTGATACAGGATCATGAACCATTCTGAAGTTTTGGTTTGAAATATTATAGTATATGATCTTACCAAAGAGCCCTTAATTCAGAATTTAAGGGGCTCTATTTCTGGATGAACTCTTCATCACTCAGGGTTGAATGTGTAATGTTCCTTGCTATTGATTGTTGTTGATTCTTAGGATCGGGCCAAGAATCATCTGGAAAACATTATCTTAATTCCTTCTTTCATATCCTAAACAGTACATGTTACTAAGGAACTCCATATGAAAAACCCCACTCATGTCTCCTGAGATTATCCCGTAAGTGAAGTAGCTTTCATTTAATCCAGCTAAATTATTTCCACTTAGCCATGTTAAAGAGAAGTCAGGTCTGGAGAAAGCGATTCTGTAACCTGTGACTCTGGTGTACCCATTTTCCCTTAACATAATGGGAAGTGTTTTGAAATTCCCAAAAGAGAGCTGTTTTGTAATCCAAGTGATGGATTATAAGAAAGCCAGACTTTGGATAAGGATAATTGGAAAAAAGGGAGGTGCTTGAAGATTTTCTAAACTACTTTATGCCATTTAGCTTGTTTCTGAAGGGCCTTCTTTGGTGCCATGTACTCAGATCAATCAGTGGACTGAAAGATGATCGTGTTTTCTTCGTCAAGATTTAAGCAATTGGCAACCACAAAGACGTTCTTTCCTTTCTGTTCTATATCATGTACTGTTGCTGACATTACAAAAAGGGGTCTGGAAGGGAAACTGTCACTCTTTTATTTTTTTCTTTAAAATACAAAAGCATCCCAACTAATCATTTATTATGGTCAACTTGTTTCACATGTCCCCTATTATGAGAAATGCTATTAACATCTCCCGTGATTTCTAAGAGCTCTTACCAAATTGTTACTTACTTCTTGTGTCCTGCTGAGTGGTTTTTCTTTTAAAATACCATTTTTATCATCCTGTGGCACTGAGTGTGTTACTGCGATTACACTGATGATTCTGAGCTGTGGTTCTTTAAATAGCTCAGTTCTTGTGTTTTATATTATGTAACAGTTTTGTGATGCTTTTGTGCATTCTTTGTCATCTCTTCTGAGTTTTGAAATCTGTCATAAATAAACTTTTTCACTATGCACCTGGGAACATCTGAGTTGTGTTTTCATGAACCTGATTTACATTTTAAATTCTTTGTCTTTTATTTATCTTCCTTAAGAAAGGTATTCTATAAACCCATATGAACTATTTCATAATCTATTAAGATTATAAAAGTTAAGAAAAACTAAAAAAAAATTGAGAATAAGGTTAATAATAGATCTTTCATCTGCATTTTAATTCATGGCAGAGTATCATGAACTGGGAACTGGGATTGGAAAAACTGGGTTAACAGTGATGATGAATAAATAGAACATTGAGTTTTATATCAGTGTTTGGTCCCAGTGAGCCTCATTTCCCCATAAACATATTCTGTTCAAATTTGGAACCTGTATTTTGGATACCAGGCCAATCATTAATGTAATCTAGGTGATACGAATTCAGCCTATTTTTTACAAAAGTGACACCGTATCTTTGATATCTTTTAAAACCACATCTCTGGTGTCTGTTACAGAATAAGGACTCACTGGAGCAGGGAAGGGTTGCATATAAGTATTTCCTTCAGTGATATCTTGATTCTAAAATGAACCTGTTAGATCATTCTCTGCTTTCTGTTGCAACACATATTTTAGAGGTTGAAGCATAAAAGAGGAAGGGATCTGAAACAACTGAGTTACATGAATGTAATCACCAAACTTCCCGACAACTGACCAAAGGCCCAGGCACATTCCCTGCAGCTGGAGATCGTTAATGATTCGTGTTTGGGTATGCTGGATGTCATACGTCACTGCTAACACAGAATATATTTAAGATCTTTTTTAACTTTTAAAAGCATATATGTCATCTCATTGACCTTGACATAGCTCAGGAGTACATAAGGCAGCTCACACATTACAGCTCTTGACATTCAGCCTTAATGTTCTTTAACCTGTGCAGTTCTGGCTTAAACCTGGCAGCTATCCTTAGTACAAGGTATTCTCCAAAAGTAGAATGATGCTTGCTTGTGACCTTGGAAGCAAGAGCTAAATAAGTTATGTTTAGAAGTAAGAGCCGGCCCAGCTACACAGGAGGCTGAGGCGGAAGGATCAAGATCAGCCTGGGCAACACGGTGAGACTCCATCTCTAAAAAAACTGTTTTTAAATAAAAAAAATCTAAAAGGAAGAGCCAATCTTGGCTGGGCACAGTGGCTCACACCTATAATCCCAGCTCTTTGAGAGGCTGAGGTGGGCGGATCACCTGAGGTCAGGAGTTCGAAACCAGCCTGACCAACATGGGGAACCCCTGTCTCTACCAAAAATACAAAAAATTAGCCAGGTGTGGTGCCAGGCCCCTGTAGTCCCAGCTACTGAGAGGCTGAGGCAGGAGAATCACTTGAACCCAGGAGGCAGAGGTTACGGTGAGCCACTGCACTCTAGCCTGGGTGCGACAGAGTTAGACTCCGTCTCAAAAAAAAAATAAATAAATTAGTGTCTTATGAATATGTGTATCACCTGTTTATCCAGTGAGTTTGCCACTTTCCTTAATGGATATGTAAAATTTCTGAGGAACATAAGCCTATGATTTTTCCTGTGTTCTCAGGTGTTTCCTGGCAGCACCTCCCTACTGCTTTCCTCCTTCTGAAGTATTTCTGGGGATTTGTTACTTCCATATAGTTGGAATTACCAGTATCAGGCCGAGTGGTAATGTTCACTCCATGAACAATCACGGAGTGTCATTGATCTTCCTTCACGGTGGCCGCTCCCAATCTGGGAAGTCCGCATATCAGGTCTCCCTGTGGCCTCTAGCATATCAGGACCAGGTGTCTGCTGAGTGTGCACGGAACTGACAGCTGATATGGAAAGGAGGGACTTGACTTAAGCCCCTACTGGAAAATCTCCTGTAAAAAGTGATGGTCTTTGCTACGATTTAAATGTTCTCTCTTTTTTTTTGAGATGGGGACTTGCTCTGTTGCCCAAATGAGTGCAGTGACACAATCTTGGTTCACTGCAACCTCCACTTCCTGGGTTCAAGCAACTCTTCTTTCTCAGCCTCGTAAGCAGCTGGAACTACAGGCACACGCCACCACACCTGGCTAATTTTTTTTTGTATTTTTAGTAGAGACGGGGTTTCACTGTTGGACAGACTGGTCTTGAACTCCTGACCTCGTGATCCACCTGCCTCGGCCTCCCAAAGTGCTAGGATTACAGGTGTGAGCCACTGCGCCTGGCCTGGATTTAAATGTTTATGTCCCCTCCAAAATTCATGTTGAAACTTAATCTCCAATGCAACAGTATTAAGAGGTGGGGCCTTTAGGAGGTATAGGTCCTAAAAAGTCATCTCATTTCATCCCCAGAAGCCACCCCAATCTCCCTATGCCATCTCTGCCAGGAGGTGGTTGGTCCTGGTTCTGCCTGCACACTGCCAAACATGGGAACTTGCTCCTTCCAGGGCAGCCCATGGTACATTGGTACCTGCTTGGTCTCCTGAGCTGGCCTGGTCAGTAGCTGCTCACACTGCCCATGGGGGAGTCTGCTTCCCATTCCCAGGAACACTCGTGAGTGGATTTACCCAGAGTGCCTAATCCTGGGACTGGTCTGGAGAACACTGGCCCTGAAGACAAGGGACTGGGTTGAGAGGAACAAGTTGCTTCTCAGAGCTGGAGTGGATTTTTTTTTTTTTAATTTTGAAACAGAATCTCACTCTTGCTCAGGTTGACATGCACTGGCATGATATCAGCTCACTGCAACCTCCACCTCCCGGGTTTAAGTGATTCTCCTACCCCAGCTTCCTGAGTAGCTGGGACTATAGGCACCTGCCACCACGCTGGCTAATTTTTTTTTCTTTTGAGACAGAGTTTTGCTTATTGCCCAGGCTGGAGTGCAATGGCACGATCTCAGCTCACTGCAACCTCCGCCTCCCGGGTTCTGGCGATTCTCCTGCCTCAGCCTCCTGAGTAGCTGAGATTACAGGCACGCGCCACCACACCCAGCTAATTTTGTATACATATATATATATCTTTTTTGAGATGGAGTTTCGCTCTTGTTACCCAGGCTGGAGTGCAATGGCACATTCTCGGCTCACCGCAACCTCCGCCTCCTGGGTTCAAACGATTTTCCTGTCTCAGCCTCCCAAGTAGCTGGGATTACAGGCACGAGCCACCATGCCCGGGTAATTTTTTTGTATTTAGTAGAGACGGGGTTTCACTATGTTGGCCAGGATGGTCTCGATCTCTTGACCTCGTGATCCACCTACCTCAGCCTCCCAAAGTGCTGGGATTACAGGCGTGAGCCACCGCGCCCGGCCCTGTTTTTTTAGTAGATATGGGGTTTTTCCATGTTGGTCAGGCTGGCCTTGAACTCCTGACCTCAAGTGATCCACCTGTCTCAGCCTCCCAAAGCGCTGGGATTATAGGCATGAGCCACTGCGCCCAGCCAGGGGTGGAACATTTAACGACGGTACCATTCTAGCCCTGGGAACTCAGCCAGTCACTAGATGCTTTCCTGCTTCTATCTGTTATCACCCTGGATCTTGTCTGATTCAGGCAGGCTTTTGGGTGTATTTCTCTTCATTGCCCTTAGGTCCCATGGGCCAGGCCTGCCACAGGGTAGGCAAGCGGCTGACTGACTTCCTCTACTGGTCCAGGCACAGGGGATTCCAGCTAGGGACAGTGTTCATCTTCTGGGACCCAGCTCAGTCTTAGACAAACAAGGTAGAGCCCTGGCCTTCAGTTTAATTCAGGCCAGATTTCAGTGTGGGCATTCTTTGGAATCAGACACAACAAAAGGGGATGAGAAAACACACTCAGGCTTCCCTGTGGTCCTATGGTAAGCATGCCAGGCATTTTAATCCACATTCTCATCTCAGCTTCACGACCGCCCGCCGTCACATAGATAGCAGGTAATATTTCTGTCCACCCTGCTTCCAGCATCTCCCTACCCCACCCCACATGCATTTGACAGATGAGGGGACTGAGGTGGAACTGGGTTCAGCAGGAAGGCAGATCCAGGGCTAGACTTTGAGTCTCCCGTCTTCTCAATGAAGATTCACTTGTTTCCAGGCCTCTTCAGTCCACCCAGCTTCTGCCCCTGTGCCCCTGTGCTAATGGGGCAGGATTTGGGAGCTAGGCCCTCAGCTCGGTGGGTGTATCTGGCTGCCGGCAGGGGTGAGACAGCTGGAAGGCCTCCAAGGCCAGCAGCCTCTTGTTGATACAGCTGATGGTGGGGTAGGGTGTGAAATCCACCTTGAATCTGTAGTAGAGAAACACCCGCTAAGCCAAGCTTTTCAGGGACACAGGGAGACTGCCCTGGGGGCAGTGAGGGAGCAGAGAGGCAAGGCAGGATGAGGTCCCAGGAGCTGTCCAGAGAAGGACAGTGGGGCAGTCCTTACTCATAGAGGATGGGTAGATCTTGTGCAGTATCATTTAGCATCTGTTACCTACTGTTCCTATTTCTTTTTTTCTTTTTTTTTTTTTGAGACAGAGTCTTGCTCTGTCGCCCAGGCTGGAGTGCAGTGGCACGATCTCAGCTCACTGCAACCTCTGCCTCCCAGGTTCAAGTGATTCTCCTGCCTCAGCCTCCTGAGTACCTGGGATTATAGGTAAGTGCCACCACGCCCAGCTACTTTTTTTTTTTGGTATTTTTAGTAGAGGTGGGATTTCACCGTGTTAGCCAGGATCATCTTGATCTCCTGACCTTGTGATCTGCCCACTTCGGCCTCCCAAAGTGCTGGGATTACAGGCGTGAGCGACAGCGCCCGGCCCTGCTGTTCCTATTTCTTTGAGAACCTACTATGTGTAAGGCCTCATGCTAGGCATTTATATATATAGTCTTTCTTCCCCCATTAGAGATAGGGATATGGAAACTTCATGGGGGGCAGGGAATGTGCCATATGTTTCCATATCCCTAATGCCTAGCAAGATGCTTTCCAGATAGGGCTCATTGGAATTAAACTGAAGGCCAGGGCTCTACCTTGTTTGTCTAAGACTGAGCTGGGTTCCATTCATGCCCTATTGAAGGGTTGACGGAGGGAAGCAGAGGTAGAGGTTGCTGCTGGGCACGGACACATCACATCT